CTCTTCCACAGCACACTGGCCAAAGTGGCCCCTGAGTAGCGCAACTTAGCTCTTCCACACCACACTCGCCAAAGTAATCCCTGAGTAGCCCAAAGCAGTTCTTCCATAGCACACTCACCAATTTGATCCCTGAGTAGTTCAACGCAGCACTTCCACAGCATGTTCACCAAAGAGATCCCGGAGTAGCCCAAAGTAGCTCTTCCACAGGACGTTCCCCAGAGTGATCCCTGAGTATTCAAGCTAGCTTTTCCACAGCACGTTCACCAAGGTGATCTCTGAGTAGCCCAAAGTGGCTCTTTCACAGCACGCTCGCCAAACTGATCCCTGTTCACCAAAGTAATCCCTGAGTAATTCAACGTAGCACTTCCACAGCACATTCACCAACATGACCTCTGAGTATTCACACCACATTCACCAAACTGATCCCTGAGTAGCTAAACCTAGCTGCCTAGCTCTTCCACAGCACATTCACAAACTGATTTCTAAGTAGTTCAACTTAGCTTGTCCACAGCACATTTACCAAAGAGATCGCAGGCTAGTTGTAGACTTGTATTGTACTTATCAAAGCAGTTTTTTCCCCACCCGTAGGACTGTGGGGCTGTTAGATTTTAAGAACTTTGGACTTCAGTAGACTCGCTACTTCTGCACATCCACCAGAGTGGTCCCAGCGTAGCTCAGAGCAACCCAAAGAACACAGCACATCCACCAGAGTGGCCCACAGTGGCCCAGAGTAGCCCTTACACAGCACATCCACCAGAGTGGCCCCAAGTAGCCCAGCGTAGCCTTTACACCAGCACATTCACCAGAGTGCTCTCAAGTACCAGTTCCACAGCATATCCACCACAAGTTGACTTGGCAGGGATGTGGGGTTGCCAGGCATTAAAATATCGAAGTTCAGAAACCTCACAAGTAAGTATTCGATGTGTGGTTTTGTTTTCAATAAAGAATCCTTTTCGCGCCGAACCGCTTTTCTCTTGTGAAGACCAATTCTTTGAGGGTGGGGAATTTCGAAGTAAAGTAATTTTTTTTGGTATCTTCGCACTGGTGTTTTCTCGGGTAACATCTCAACAGGAATCACAGTGTCATGCTGTGCTCAAGAGGTTTCTCGAAGAGGTGTTTTTTGTCTGATTCGTGTTTGATGGGCTGCAAGGCGAAGATAGAAAGGAAGTGCGTGCGCAAGTTGACACGAACGTCATTACCCCACACCCCACCCGATGCGTAATCAAGTGTCATTACGCCAGCCCACTCCACCCCATATATCTTCGGTGTTCAACCCGTATGCTGAAACATATGCGTATGGCCATTGTCCCAGCCCCACACCATCCCCCCACCCCATGTCAACCCGCCGGGTGTGTTTTGTATGAAGTACCAATGTCGTAAATGTCTTCGGGGGGGGGGTAGCAAGTATGTAGGCGGACTCAGACCCATGAAATACCCTAAAAACAGCGGGGCCGTTATGGCACTGGCCAGCATTAGCAACCATAACGTTAGGTGAGTCAGTCAGCTCGTGTCAACTCCAGGAAAACTTGGAGCCTGGCGACCTTCCGGGCGCAAAAGTTCACCGTGTTGTTTTCGTGGTCTCAGTCCTTGAGCTTTGGCATATTGCCCATGTCGGGACTTGGTTTTCTTACTGCAAGATTTGCAATCATGGAATATGGCGTTTTTAGGGATCAGACTATCAGAATTGTGTCAGAGAGTTGAACTGCTTTTGCCGTGGCCTCCAGCACAATGCCGAAAGAGATGAGCTGCTTGGATGCTTGTAGGATGTTGATCAGGCTTGTGCGCGGTCGACATTGGAACAATGGAACAAGATTTGAGCTCCTTCCTTGGCAGCAGTGTTTTTGGCTTAAGCAACGCCGCTGACCCACTGCCCGGCACAAAATGTCCCCTTGGGCATTTGTCATGACAAACTGGAGGCAAACACTGCACAGACTACTAGCTGGGCTTATTTAATATCAAGATGACTGCCTTCATACAGGATCTGGAGATCCCAAAGTGTAGCCTGTTGAAGCGTCACAAGCTTCACGAGTTCAGACCACAAAAAGACATTTCGGCCTGAGCCGGGCAACAATACAGATCCCGCGCAACTGAACCGTTTGTCGCTTGCCAGTTCAGCACGCAGGACAGCTGCCGCATGTTGCCACAACTTTTGTAGTTCTTGTTTTAAGAATTGGATGGGGGAGTGCCCCTCGCAATGGTGAATGTGCCCAATCCACAGCTTCTGGCTTGAATCCCAAAACAATTGACTCCTTGGGGCCTTACGTGTTCTGCTGGGATAGCAAGGTCCCCACTCAGGACTATTCACGGTCTGAATCGCTGGTGCAGACGAGCTGCATTTGTGCGCCTTTGTGCAGAGGCAGGGTGTCCATGGTGTGAGCTGGGAAAAGAACTATATAAATACGCCGGAGTTGGTTTGCAGTGTGTTTGTGTCTAACGCTGCAGTGAGTGTAAAGCGGTCTAAGACTGCAAGGTGATGAAGAATGAGAGAAAAGAGGATTGTTTAAGAAGCTCACTCCTGTTTAAGACCTCAGCCACGGCAGATTGCTAATGTCAGCTGGCCATGCTGCTGATGCGGCGGCAGAAGTAGCCCCTGGCGCACGATTTGGGCCTGAGGATGACCAGCAGCCTGGAGGAGGAGTCGCAGGCTGCAGGAGGGTATTGTTGCTATTTAATATATATAATATACAGTTATATATTTCTGGTAGTCGATTGAAAGGTCGACATAAGGCCTATGTCACTGAGGGCGTTGTCAGCGAAAGTTTTTCTTGAGTTCGCGAAAGTAAATTGTTTATTCGCGAAAGATCTTCGAAAGATCCTATATATGTTAGAACTATATATGTATACTTCATACTTCCTTCACTCAGGAGTCCAGGAGGAGCCTTCATTCCTGACTTTCGATGCAGTCTTTAGGCTTCTAAGTAGCTCACTCACATTGGTGAATTGGCTTGGCCATGCTCCTAGGCACAGTCAGTCATCGGTGGCACATTCACAAGCCTTTACATTGCGCAATATACAGCTCACACTTGCGACGCATAATCCCTTGGCTGTATAGTAACTCCTTTGTTGTTTCGCGTTGGGCCTAGAAACCCACCAATGACTCGACATTTTTGGCGAAAGATTCGCGAAAGTTCCGCGAAAGCATAGGCGAATGTGAAGGCCTGTTTTGTGATGTTTTGTGGACCCCTGCCCAAGGGACCGGGTTTGTTTGTACACGCGGAGCCCGGATTGTCCTGGATTGTTTTTTGCATGTGAATTCTCGCTGCTGTTCCATATCGGGGTGAAACGGCCACCTAGGAAGAGACCGGGTAGTTTGTTTGGATGCAGAACAGATCCCTAAACAAACAGATGGAATTGGTTATATAGGCTGTTATGTAAAACCACTAAACCAAGAAGATGTTTGGAGGATATACCCCCCGCGAAAGTTAAACATGGAGTTCGTGAAAGGCTCGCAGAAGTCAACTTTTTATTGTCGAAGAATGGCCGTTCAGCAAGAAGGAATTTTGGATCAACCACGATATACTGTATGTATACTTCCATGGGTTTAAACGGCGCCAGTGGTTGCAACCGCATTTGCAATCGTCAGGGCACATTGGTCATGGCAATGGGAACGGCAGTTGGGTCCCACAGAGAATTATAGGAAATCACCCGTGAACCATAATGCAAGCTGAAGCTAGTGCAACTATGCAGAAATGACATGTGGAAGGGTTGTGAAATATGCATGGCCGCACCAGAACTTGAAAGATGCATAGAAGTCCTGATACCGCGGACCGCGCTCACATAGCCCAAGGTACGAGATTGGAAAACAACTTGGTCACGGCGCTGCATCCCAAGTCTTTGCATGCAGGTGAGGGTCAGCTGCCTTGTTGCCCTGCATTGTATTTGGCTAATTACGGTAACTCGGTACGACATGAAACTTGGAAGTGTGGGCCTGCAATATTTGAACAAGCACTGCTGACCTTGAAACAACTAACTGGCTGGCTAACTTGTGTTTGAGCATGTCGCCTACCAAAATTTGTTGATCACAGTTGATGTTTAACAGAGTCATAATTTGTTTTGCATCTTTTGGCCTGTGGCAGGCGCCTGCGTGATGGGGAGAAGTTTGCTGTGAAGACAGTCGACCTGAGACGCTTGTGCCACCGGGCATATGACACAAACGTTAAAACATATGTGACATATGTATGAGAATTTCGTGGAGTTGGGGCGATACTGCACTAGGCCTTTACCAAAGGAAGGCTGATTCGTGGTTGATGAACGCTCAAGCAGCTCCAGGTCCAGGCCCACAAGGCAGCACATGATGTGGAACAAGGTACTACTTATATAGATCATCTTAGATCTACTTAGTACTCAGACTTGAGGGATGCCAAGATCTGAGGCTTGCTCGGCGATATGCAGGAGCAGCTGAGCCGCCTTGACTGCGAGGTGTGCACCTGTCATCTCCTTTCAGGAGTTTCCCTTACGTGTCTCTATATATTTGCAAGGTGTTGATGGGAGATGGCATTTGCATGTGACTGGACTTCTTGGCGTTCCTGAGGGAAGCAACGGTGCCAAAGCTGACAAAAGAGTTCTTGCCACACACCTTTCTCCAGAATCTCCAGACAAATCTCAATGGTCCGAAACTGTAAGAGACTAGTGAGAGGGGAGTGGCGCTCCTTTAAGACTCAGCATCAGATGTCTCGAATAGCCATGTTCTCTTGTCCATCAAATTGTATAGTGCATCATAATTGCATTTCATCCAAGCATATCAATCAGCTCCTAAATACTATATGGCTATTACATGGGTGTATGGTTAACGCTTAATTTGAATATTAGCCGGCCATGAACATAGGAGTGCAAGAAAAATCAACGAAAAATTAGCGTTGTCTTGTTGGACACAGATGTCCGCGAAGCTGATTGTCCTTGTGTATGTCATGGTTGAGTTGAGCGTTCACCTCAAAAGATGTAACAGGCATCCCCCCGCCGTCATGAATTTTGGAAAAGTTGTGAAAAGCCTTTGCTAGCCAAGCTGCATTATGATGGAACCACCCATCCCGCACCCAGAGCACATCGCACTCAATCTTTTGAAAGTTCACGGCCCTTGCTGCAATTTGCTGCAGGTTCGGATCCTCAAGGAATTGCGCCATGAAACTTGTCCTTGAAGTGGTTTGTGCCAAAGCCGTAACCTGGACTTTCAAGTCAAACTGAAGCTCGGTGGGCCTCGTTGGTAGGAAGGTTCGAAATGTCTTGATAGGATTGGTCGTGCTCACTCAAGGCATGAAAGATGTTGCACGCGCTTGATCACACCACGGGATTGTTAGTGAGACCCACACAGCCCGCCAAGGAGAGAATAGTCAATCTCGAAGGCTTTCACAAGCTCCTTGCGGCAAGACTAGAGCTTGAATCGGAGTCAAGGGTTTCATTCGGTCGCTTCACGTGTTCACGCTATCAACTAAAACTGGCAGTCTGTGACGGCATTTCGTGCACCCTTGACTCTCGTACCCTTTCCAGTCGGGCGATTCGTCATTCAGTGACTTCAGGACGGACAACTGGTATTTCCTGGTCATGGAGCTGGTTCGGGGTGGTGAGCTTTTTGACGTCATTGTTCGCAACAAGTCTTTGAGCGAGATGGAAGCACGTGGCTTGGCGTGGGTATGAGAAGTACCTTCAGTAGTTATATCATTGACTAGAATAGTGCTGACTGTTTGGGCTGTTGCATTCTGGAGCTGATGTGTAAGTGTTTCGCCCGTCAGACAGCATAATCAGCCCCCGCTCGATTGAAATGTTGAATCTGATCAGCCAGCGCTGGTCCCCTTAGCCCAGGACATGTTTTCTTGCAGCTTCTAGAGGGCGTTGGCTTCATGCACTCAAGAGGTGGGGCTCTTCTAGTGGAAGGCATCCAGAAAGGTCCTAGATCCTACAGACACCGCTATTTCCAGGTGGCCAGACAAGCCCCGCATGCCAAATTTCAAAACCGCACAGACAAAACCCAGAGACTCTTGAAAAATAGCTTTGCACTGGACACAGCCTGTCACAGGCTGCATGTAGTGCTTGTCATGTTTGTTTGGGCCACAGGTGTCATTCATCGGGACTTAAAGCCGGAGAACCTTCTGGTGGCTAGCTCCAGGTGGGGACTTTCACTTGCGCAGCAACGTAGACCGTACCGTAGACTCTGTAGACCGTCGTAGACCCTTGAAGATCTTAAAGAATCATGAAGAATCCGGCTTCATTGCAGTTCATCAGTTCATGTGCAAGTTATTACGCAAGTCAAGTTCAGCAAAGTCACATTGCGAGCTTATCGCGGCCCGCTATTTCTCGATCAGCCAGCCAGCCGGCCAGCCGGCTGATCAACGACCGTCGGCTACTACTACTACTGCTACTACTACTACTACCACTACTACTACTACTACCACTACTACCACTACTACCACTACTACTACTACTACTACTACTACTACTCCTACTCCTACTCCTACGCCTACCGCTACCGCTACCGCTACCGCTACCGCTACCGCTACCGCTACCACTACCACTACCACTACCTACCTTCCTACCTACCTACCTACTGCCTACCTACTACCTACCTACTACCTACCTACTACCTACTACTACTAGTAGTACATGGCCGGCCGGCCGCGGAAGAAATCGCTACTACTACTACTACTACTACGACTACTACTACTGCTACTACCACCACGACGACGACGACCACGACGACTACTACTACTAGTCTACTACTACTAGTCTACTACTACTAGTCTACTACTACTAGTCTACTACTACTAGTCTACTACTACTA